ACTGAAAAAACATCTTACACAATCTTCTTACCACAACCAACACACTTTGAATTTCTAACCTACAGATATATATATATAGGTGCAGTATGCCAATTGGCCAATCACAGTAAAAAACAAAATAATTTGTATCACTAAGTTGAAATGGGGGTAAGAAAGCAAATCTTATATACATGTAACATCACTAAATTAGAAAGGGGGTAAGGAAGCCAGAAACACGTAACACTGAGTAATACACAAACACAAGTGATGGGTAGATAATATACAAAATGCTAATTCATATATTTACAATAAAGTAATTACAACAAATTTGCATAATAAATATTTTGTTAAGTGGCCAAACAAAAGAACAAGCTGCATGAACATATTAATGAAAAATTACAAAATAACAGGTTAATATGAAACAACTAAAACTGCTGTTATCATAATATCCCAGTCCACACACGTTTTTCAGGGAGGCATCCATCTTTTGATTTTTTTCTTTTTGTCAGAGAGCCTGGGTCATTTGTACCCATTTGCCTCTTTCCTCTTCTGTAAACTTTCTTTTAAATGGTTTGGTTTGTTTGTTATGAATTTTGAGCAAAGCTACACGACTGCTATCTGCACTAGTCATCACCACCCACCGCCATTTTTTGGGCTACGCTTTTACCAACAAATAGTGGGATTGACCATCACATTATAATGCCCCCATGACTGAAAGGGTGAGCATGTTTGGTGTGGTGGGGATTCAAACTTGCAACCTAACCACCTGGTCATGCCAGGTCCAATCTTAAGTGACATTTATATGTTTTCTTCATACAACAGATGAGATTTGAATAAATTGAAAGATCAGATTAATATATTTAATGAATTGCAAACAAAGTAGATGGTTTCTGATAAATTATATTTTATTTATAAGATATTTAGAAATTAACAAATTTAACTTACAGCAGTCAAAGTAATGTGAAAAACATGTAAGTCCCCTTTTTGATTATATAAAAGATTTATTTAATAAGATGATCCAAATTACCATGATTATGAAATTCTGACAGAAAAGAATTATATGTAAAAAGTTTAAGCAAATATAACTGGTTTAGGGTAATTAATACCAGAAACAAGGAGCCCATGGAAGATGATTTAATTTTTTACTGCCTAAAAACAAAGAATTTTACTGATATCAATAGAAACAAAAGTAAAGTTTGGATCCATATTTAGGGTGCATGGATAAAAATGAAAACAAACAAACAAACCTCAATAACCCTCATCCCTTCTTTTAGTTTTCCATTTCTTGCTGCTGCTTCATCTGGTTGAATCTGTGTAAGAAACACCAAAATAGCAGCATGAACAATCATGTGAACAGTTTTATCAAAAAATACACACAATTACATTACAATTAATAAAACTAGGTATTGGTTATATAGTTTCAAAAACCATGTTAAACTTTCTTGAAAATGAAACTTCTTGGAATCTAATGTTCTTGTACAATGAAATCTGTGCAAGTCTAATAACTTGTTCATATAATTATTAGTGTTCAAAAGCCATAAGTTCCATTGATATGTTTAAATATCTTTTAGTTATTCTTAATTAGAAATAAAACTCTAGGTTTCTCATTCTTTTCTGGTGTTGTTACAAATTAGTTAGTATGAATAGTTTCATAATACTGACAGATAGAATAGAATAACCATAAGAAATATTTCTTGACATACATAGTGTTCCCAATAATAAGCAAAATGTATCCAATAATTTTAATTTTTTACCTAAAAATTCTGAAAAATCAACAACAAAATCAACACTCAATAACGTATAACAGATTTTAAAATAAATAATAATAAACATACAAGGCTTTCAGATCCAAAAATACAAACTGCTTTTTTATTTTATTTTTCAAACACATTAGTAAGTATCAAATAAAATTTTAATACTAATTCTTGCAAAAAATAACATAACATTGTTGTACTCTAGTATGCAGTATTAGTATTTTGGAAATTGTTTCTTATGACAAGTTTTTAAAGCATACACATTATTTAAAATGTAAATATTTGTTAATTATTTTTAGTAATTACAATTTCTTATGAAGAAAGGTCTACTTTTAAAAGTGCTCAGGTTATAGGGTTTTGTATTTTTGTCTTAAATTAATCTTTTGAACCTACACGATTTCCTAACACCATGATTTACTAATTACAATGGATGTGTTGCAAAAATTTACCAACAGATTTCATTGTTGATGTAATGGTTTACCTAATTGAATCAGTTGGCAAAAGTTTGAGAGAAAAGAAATTAGACTGAAAGGTTTGTGTACTTAAGTTTTAAGTGAGTTGGAGGAATCTGAGAAATTAGAATAAAAGACAGATGATAAGTGGGTATATACTGGATAACATATTCTTTAATAACCTGAGAAAAAGAATCTTTGCAGTAGCAGCAAGTTAGTCTACTTTTTGGCATATGTTAACATGTAGGCTTAGTAAGTAATACAAGTTTTTTTTAAGTGTAAACTTTAAATTACATAACACAATTATGACTGATAGTAGGCATACAGAAAAATTATACTGTTTGATTAATACATGGAATTTGAAAGTGAATTGCTGCAATTTGATTATCAGTATAAATCCAAAATATCATTAACCTTTTATTTTGTAATAAGACTTTAAGTCATCTGTCAATCCAAGTAAGAATCCATTAAAAGATGCAGTACGTAAAAATATACAAATAAACCCAAATAATCCCTGTATTAAAACAATTTTATCCAGAACAGAAAAATTTCGTTTTATAAAATCATTCTTTGAAAACTTTTTCCACAAGATCACATTCTTTACAAAGAAAATATAATCAAATAGATCTCAAAGAAAAGCACACACAAAAAACAAAACCTACTGAAGACACAAATATTCCTTCATCAGCACTATCCTTTGGATTTCCAGGCTGGTCTTGTGTTCCTCCTCTGATTGTAACCCCCAGATTTTCATGTGGTTCTCTTGGAATTATAATTTTCTAGATAAAACAAACAGAAAAAAGTCCAGTAAATATGAATAATAAGGTGGAAATATATTTCATGCATAAGAAGTTTGTGTTACATATATATTTTTAAACCATACTTCAAAACAAATACAGATTGCATGTGTTACTTTTAAAAATTGTATATTTTTATGTAACATAAAAATATATCACATGAAATACAGATTTGAGTTATTTGTATACATTAATCATTGTACTGTCAGAAGGTCCTTCCTGCATAACAAAATACAAAATGTTTTCAATTTAACAGAAGTAACAAAGATACAAGCCCTACCCATAGCACTTCATTTTGTTGATTTAAACTCTGTTTGATCTACTTTAAAAAATTATCACTTGCAAGTTTTCAGAATAGTTTTCTATAAATAAATTATTAATATGTTTTAAAAACTTACTTTTGTAAAGCAGGATTTTAGTATCAACTTAAATCTTCAAATAGAAACAAAAAAGTTTAAAAAATTAGCAAGTATTAATACAATGTTAAATAGATACATGATAAATCTATATCATAATATACAGCTATTCAAGACAATATTTTATAATCTGTTATATGAACAGACAGTACTTTCAACTATACTTCACTGATAAATGGTTTGTGACATTATTTCTTGTTCTTATTGGGATAATACAGTTAAAAGGGATACCAATTTCCACAGAAAATATATATAAAAAAAAGGATTATCTGAAGTAAATTCAAATACTAAAATTATAATGGAAACTTAAGATGTGAGGGTATCTTGCAAAGTAATCTCAAAAAGCAAGAGTATAATACAAACCTAATTCAAATAGCAAGGCAGTATCATGCAAAGAAAACTTGTAGAACAAGAGAATATCATGCAGAATAAACTAAAATTGTTTTTACTCCACCTAACATTCAATAATAGAAGTTCATGTTCTATTCTTTTCATTAACTTTCTTACAATTAAGAATATTGTGGCAGTGCACTCACCTTTCAGTTAAGAGTTGGTTTTCATAGCTTAATGGAAAAGGTTCAAGAAATCTAAGGTGAAATTATTCCCAGGAGAATAATATGAAAAAAACTGGAGGTTGGCCCAACATCACATATATTTAAATAGTGGTTGGTAATACTACTAGTCTTGAAGGTTTTAAAGTTAGTTTTTTATTCAACTTTAGAGTTGAAAAGCACTTTTAATCTAGACATATTTTAACTGAATTTGTGGATATAACTGTTTGATAATTCTCTACTTAATTAAGTAGAGTATGACTAAGTAGTGTTTTTTTTTAAATCTAACATAACAAATGAGATATTTACTTTTTCAGTTTTACTGTGGAATATTCTATTCACAAATGACTGCTATTTTTCTATGTTTTCACAAAAACAAGTTTGGTTACAGTCCCGTCCTACACATTCTCAGCCAAGGAGATAAGTTGATGAAACTTTTGTCATGTTTAACTACGTTGAGTTGGTTAATGTATTTCTCCAGTTTTTAAATGGTAAACAACCCAATATAAAGTTCACTGTTGAAAATTAACAGAATGACAGACTCACATTTTTATATGTTCATGCCTTACAAAACTAGGATATGCTTACCATTAAAGTGTATTTTAAACCTACTTTCACTGGACTTTATTCACATTATGAAAGTTTCACTCCTTCAATCTATAAAGAAAATCTGGTATAAACCCAGTATACAGAACCTTTAAGAAGTCAAGAAATCAAAATCTATTTCAAGAAGAAGTTGAGAACATTAAAAAAGTGCTTGGAAGAATTTGTTTTCCATTGTCATTTCTATGTAGAATAATCTACTACAAAACTGAAACACTAAACCCAATCTGTTGATATATTAATGTTAGATAATTCAATGGAAACTGTTACTTTAGTCATACCATACTTAGGCATTATTTCATACATGATTGAGAAGAAAATTATCAAACAGCAATGTCCCTAAGTTCAGTTAAAATGTGTTTTTAAAACAGAGTCTAGGCCAAAAGGCTTTACAATTTTAAAGACAAAAACCATCCATTGAATACCTCACTGGTGATATATAAGTTCACATGCCTGAGGTGCAACCAGGAATATATTAAGTAAGCCAATAGAAGGCTCTGCAATCAAATAAAAGAACACTGTAATATTAAAACCTACAACACAGTATATAACCAGCCACTGATTAAACAAATATGTTGTTGTGCCTACTTCCAGTTTCTTCCATGTCATTCTCCATTTCCAGAAAGAATTCCACCTTAGAATACTAGAATCTTTTGCCATTAAGCTAAGAATACTAGCTCTTAATTGTAAAATGAACACACTGCCACTACATCTACTTCAATTGTGAAAATGTGAAGAAAAGAACAGAACACAAACTTTGATTGTTAAACAAATACAGCAAAAAGAGTAACATACAAAGAAAACGAAAATATCAAGAAAGCATAATGCATTGTAAAGTAAAACCCGAAGAGTATTATTAAATCTAAATTCAAATACAAGAGTTTTATGCAAAGTAAAAATCCAGTACCAAGAGGGTATAAAAGTACAATTGATTACCACAAGCATACTATGGAAAGTTCCTTGGCAAAAGACATGAGTAGCAGAAAGAATGCTTACTTACAGTTAATGGCACAGGATTGAGTTGAAGCAAAAATCTAACCACATTAGAAGCATGATGAAGAGAAATAGTAGAAAATGCAGCTATTAAAAATTAGATAAATTAGCTAGTAAACAAGAATTTTCTATATATTTTTAATACAAAATGCTAGATTTTTCACCAATGAAAATCCCAAACAAACTTTATCACATCCAAGTATTTTACTCAAAAAAAATATCTTTATGATAACTTATATATATGCTGTAATTATATAATGATGTTAGAATATAACTAAAAAAAACAAACAATAGAATTATCTACATTATGAATCAAAAAATGAAACAAATATAATATTTTGTTCCAAAGCTATTTAAACAGGATAAATAAACCCAAATTATAATCTTCAGGGTAAATTTTTAAAACATATTTCCCTTACTGAAGTTTTCAGATATATATTGATTTTAACCAGTTGTTTAATTATCATCTATACAGAAGTAATACAAAATAAAATCCAATGTAATAAAACAATGTTTCTTTAAATGCCCCTGTCTTTGCTCTGGTATAGATTAGGTGATTATAAATAAAAAACCCATATTTAAAATGATTATGTCTCAAAAACTGTTTGTTGTAGAAGAACAAAATTTCACCATCGTCAACTTAAAAATCAAAAGTTTTACTTAGAAAGTTTGGGTATGGGCTGGGTGTTTCAAAACCATATTATACTACATACTTGAATTGATTTCCTGGCTAATTAGCATTGCATTTACCTGTCTTATTTCTACCACCCTTTCAACAATATGAGGCTGATATTTGAATAAAATAAGTGTGTGAAACTGTTGATTCACTGTACCATTAAATGGAAATTTTACTTTGATCAAATGGCAATTCTGAAGAAAGTATGGATAATTACTTCCTTACAAGTAGTCTTAAAAATATCTTTAAAAATTCAGTTTGGTGCAACTAGATCTGTATGAGATGCCCCTTGTTCTAGGCAACCACATGTATCTGTGAAAACAACACTGAAGATTGTTTAGAATATCCAAAACCAAGCTGAGAAGCATCATTTTGAGGCATAATGTAGTAATGATGCTGTTCAACAACTTGATCTGTAAAATGTAGTTTAGGAAAAAAAGACAGCTCAAAGATGGCCACTTTTAGATGTCTGGATGGCATTGATGATAGTGATCCACCTTTGTGGCTCGACAAATGAAAATGTATTTTGGTCAGAGTATGCATGGCTAAAAACATTCTCTTGACAAACAATACACTCTTTCATTTCATTGGATAGGTTAACTCAAGAAGTGTTGTCATCTATACAACTGAAACTTACACAAAGTTCACCAGAAGCCTATTCATGAACCTTATGATACTGCATCTTGCAGCTTCAATAGCATCTGTCATTGATCCTTACTTTTTTGAAGTTATTGATGAGACTGACTGTACCCAAACTGTTTGGATAAGGTCAATTATAAAACAATGTTGGAAAAATAAGTTACTTCATGCCAGAAGGAATGAAGCACTGATACAATCACCTTCCAATAACATGAGGCAACCCCTCATATCTCTTGTCTTGTTAAAATACTTCTAACAGATACTTTTACAGAAGACAGAATCATAATGCATTCATTCAGGCAGAATGTTAAGCTTGATATTCTGATTGAGAAAAATGTAAAGCACTGAACATATTCTGTGATGGTTTATAAAAGCACTGTCTACCATGTTCAAATTTTCCTGAATAAAACTTATGATTCTCAATGTTTCTCTAGCTAAATTTACTTTATGACAAGTAGCTTTTAGATAAAATTATTGTAAACGAGAGGCTTTCTGGATAAGCTACATACTAAAGCATTTTTGTCAAACAATGTAAAGGAAGTATACCAGAAGATGTAAATTCTGAACATCTTTTTCTTTTTTTTTACAAAATTAAACAATATGGAATGAAAACAAAGATTTTGTTTGGAAACTTTCAAGTGTAGTCTTTGATAAGTTTTAAAGTTTGATAATTTTTAAATTCATTGCCCTTTAAAAATTGAAACTGACTGTCATTATCCATATAATATTGCGCTTTCTGTTATTTGTTCTTTTTTAAATACTCTCTGTAAATACAAGTACATTTGCAAAATACAAAGTACAAAAAGAAATTTCTGGTTAAATATAATTCATTTTATGGTCCTTACTGGTGTTGCTTAGGAGTACCAAATCAACTACATTGAAAAAACACCATAATTTTATAAGTGAAAAATTATAATATAGAAAATTACAAGATGTTTGCAAAAATATATTTAGTATTAAGCCTTCTAGTCCTCTAGTTTACAGATGTAAGGTTGATCTGTGTGAATGAAGAAGACTAAATCTTCAGTCTAGATATTTAAGTCTCTATCCCTAAAACCTTTTAATTTTGTTATTCGTGTATAAAATGTGTCTTAATCAACATTT